ATCGGCTTATACATGACGGAATCGACTAACTACTCAGTAAATGAGGGAGAAAGATACACTAAGCATGGAAGCGTCATGTTCTAGCTATAACGTGAGCCTATATTGACATTTTCACCGATAAAAGTCCTGCGTTCAGCAGTATACCAGATCGACACATCTTTCATCATTACGAACTACAGTAATATGCAATACGAATATCACATGCGGTAGGATGACTACAACCCTTTCGATTCAATCGTCCATCAAGTTTCTGGTGATTTACTACACAAATCGCTACGCTCAAATGGTTATGGAATGAAATGTGGGTAGGCTAGACTTCATGCAATTGGGTGATTCGGTCCAATGGTTAAAATCGTAAGCACGTGACGAATGCGATTCAAACATTTCAATGGTAAATTCCCGACGGATCGCGGAGAATACACATATACACCAGCAGAATGACAGAGGGGAGAAACAAGCATCATGACTGAGCTGATTTTTTCTTGCGGTGTTAAATATTTGACTTCATCACTGCACTCGCAATCCGAGTTATGGTTTATCATTCAATTAAATCATAAATAGTTAAATGTTCCCCACCACGATTTCTCCAACGGCGAGAAGCCTGGTCACCATATCCTGGTTAGGCTTTAAATAAATGCTGAATGTTGTGCTCGAGATAGCATCCGATAAAAATGAGTGGAGTACGAATAAAGTCTAGCCAAATCTCACAACTATGGCAAAAAGCACCAACCTAAGTAAAAAGTAATCGTACAGTTCACAGTTCATGCCAATCACCTTCACAAGTTCTGCAAATCACCCTAAACTGTGTAGCGAGTTACACGAATGATCCCCGGTTGGAGACAACCCAACTTAGAGGGGCAGAAAGCGGGGTAAGCAATGATTGTAAGTTTTGAATGATTTGACTGACTATCCTTCGGATTTCACTTTCACGCACAATCCTCAGTTCACTGATTCAATGATATACTCGGAAGCACTAGACTCGAGTTTCGCTCTTGAAATGATTCGGCAATTAGGCTCAGTCATGGCATGAGCCGGCTGGCACAGTAGTAACACACGCCTTCCATGCGCTGCGTCCTGAAGTTCAGATCCTGGACTGGATCGTTGATATGCACTGTTGATAAGCTCTAACGAGAGCGAAACTCGATTTTAGTGCTTCCCAGTGTATGTTTGAATCAATGAGCTGGGGATTGTGCGTGAAGGGGGAATCCGAAGGGTAATCAGTAAAATCAATCAACAGCAATTATCCCACACACACTATTCACAAGTAACTGTGAGTCAAATTCGAAGATTGGAAGTTTATTCCACTGACAATTTTCTTTCTTTCTCTAAATGTGGGCCCACACATATGTACATGGCAGGTAACTGGGGAAAAATTGCTTGAAGCGATTGCAAGTCGGGAAGAAAAGACAAGAATCTGTTTGTGAACGTAGTAGATCAGTCCTCAGAGCAGCTACAGTGACGCTTTTGGACGGCTACCAACTCACCCCCATCGAAGTGATTAACCATGTCATTGATGCCTTTTGTGAAGTAAGTACTATACTACGGGAATTTATTCAACCAACTGTATATGATCACATATGCTATGTAAACAATCGGGTTGTCTTTCTACTTGTCTCATTACTTTGAGCTACATCACCCTCGTCCATCCTTTGTAAAACAATCTATCTATGGACAGAATACGAATCAGAAGTCACCCTGTTGAAAGAAATTAATAACGATGATGTTCATCAGCGTTTCCTTTCGGGGAAATGTGACTTCAACAATATTGTCCTAATCCACCATGTTACATGTCAGAGGCATGAATTTATCAACGTAGACAGAAACAGCTCTACAACGCGTGTCTGGTAGCAGTGTTTCATTATCGCAAAATTGTTATTTAGTTCTGATTTCAGTTAGCGCCAATGGGCATATATCATTATCTCGAGTTGACAATGCACCGCGTAACTGGATTTAAAGAGGTTTTTAGTGCAGACGAATTGCAACGATGTAGCAATTACAGTCATATTAACGTTCCACTGCTCTCCATCAAGCATGACGTGAAATACACAACGATAATCGATAAATATAAAGTTTTTATACTGACCCGCACACTGGTATACTTACCAAGGCAGCAGCGCTAGTAGGTCTCTGGTATGTAAACTGAACGGTTTGGCTCGATTTGATGGTATTTTCAGAAACAAATCCGGACACGTTCAGACTGTTTCCCATGAAACGAACCAGGCAGTTCAATTTGATTGCGCTTTCATCGAGTCTGTCAGTTGGCGACGGACATTTGACGAACATCGAGGACAGGTTGAGTTGTGCCAAATTACTTTTGACGACATTCAAGTGAGAGACCAGGGTGTACGAAGAACAGTGAACATGACCAATAGAAAGCATACAATTGCATGAACCACAATATCTCATTGATGACATTACAGTCAATTGTGTTTAGTCATAAAAAACTGGTAAAGTTTAGTCATAAACATTGTTTTTAATTTAGTGATTTGTGGAAAATCGTATAATGGCAAGTGTATTCCTCTTCTTGCAGTTGTCTTATACCAAGCAAAAATGAGTTCACTAATTGCAATAAATAATCGGCAAAGCACATTTATCCGGCTTGGAGTAGGCTGAATCCGAATATGTAAGAATGTGTTTCACCGGTAATAAGTGTGATAGTGATGTCCGGATCCATCGCGTGGAAGGTGTGTGCGTTACCTATGTGTCAACCAACTCATCCTATGGTTGAACATAATTGGCAATTCCTGTTTGTTCACGTGTCGACTTCATTGATGGCAGTTCATTTGGCTCGACGGCAACGAAGGGAGACGCAGGTGACAATATGTTAACTCCAATCGAAAGCCCCCGACCAAGTCAAGACTTCCACCCAGGTGATGGACTGACTTGCAACAAACCTACCAGGTTTGGTTGATCATTCGCAATTAACTCTTAGTTACTTGTGAGTAGCGGTGTGGGATAATTGATATTGATTGATTTAACTGACCATCCTTCGGACTTCACCTTCACGCACAATCCTCTAATAAGAGCCAAACTGGAGTCTAGTGCCTCCGAGTGTATGGTCGAATCGATGGACAGAGAACTGTGTGAACGTGAAGTCCGATGATGGTCAGTTCAAATCAATAAATATCAATTATCCCACAACACTACTCACGAGTAACTGTCAATTAAATGCGACTATTGAGGAGTCAGTCTTACTTCAGTACTAGACGATTTGGTGGGTTAGTCACAGAATATTGGCCTGCACGTTGCTTAGGTACGACAGGAAAAAATGATTTGCCTAAACTGCTGTCAAGCATTTTCTGTCAATAACTCAAATGAAACAACTCAAGTGAAACAATCGGTTCACAAAAACGACCTATACTGTTTACAATCACAGAGTAAGCTCATGATTTCCTCAACCATACATGGGGCCAGATGGAGAAGGCAATTTACGAAAATTTCACACACCGGATTCAACTTCAAGCGTGTAGAAAACGGTACATGTGAAATAAATTTTGATAGCAATATAAGCAAATCGTAGACTAACCCAATCAGCTGAAATGGAATGCCCACGGGGACGAGGTTGTCAAAGCACCTGCCAACCGATCGAATGAAGCAACGATTCAATTCGACCGAGGTCCCAGTGAAACTAAGTTCCATTTGAACGGGACTGTAAAGTGTATTGTCCGAGTGCTGGAATGTTGTTTCATACGTCACGAAAACTCCGAGCGGTAAAGTTGATGTTTGAGATCCAATACTTCTAATTGCCAGCTGTGGCTGTGTTGAAGCCTCCAAATCAATCATGAACAAAATAATAAACAATGAATCATATTCTTCATGGTGAGTATAACGCTAATAATTAGATAATGAAAATCAGTACCTTCACCACAAAGTGGCATTTTCCAGTTGAACTTTAGAATATCCTACTGACAAAAGCAGACGTTATTTAAGTTCCCCGCGGCTTAAAACTCATTTGGAAAGAACCAGTAAGATCAGCGGTTCAAAACGAACTGTATTCCATTTTGCCTGTTCGCCGAGCTTGGCAATTTGTTTGCAAACGTTTCATCACCAGCCGAGGTGACATCATCAGTGCTTGTGAACTGTTGCAAATAAAAACGTTAGACATGATTAAACTTGATCATCTATGGGAATGTCACCGACAAAGATTAGTGAATTCAGCATAAACGAATCAGGGTATTTTCTTGTAACCGATTAAAGTTGTCAAGTCCTTGATATGATACTCAATTCAGTGTTACGAATAACACTTAGGTGGTCCATTATTTTTGGAACACCGTCCAATTCCCATCATCCTTGCAGTTAAGCTCACCGGATGCAAGTCTCATATAATTATGGTCATGTAATTTACAAATTAAAAGCAGATTCCAGTTCTTCAGTATTACACATTTTCCCTTGTCACTGGTTCTTTACGGTTAACTCAGGTCTCAGTTCTGTTCCGCAATTAGTTTACTATTAAAACTCCCATTCTATCGTTTGTGTTGCAGTCATTATATTCTGATTAAAGACAGTTTTCCGGAGTGAGAGAATTCAACGGGCAAAGCTAAATAGAGAAGATGAAGCTGGAGTATTGTAAACTAAATAGCTCACTTGTCTCTGTCAGTACCTCATCGTCAAAGAACCTATGGCCTCAGAATAGTATGGAGAACCTAGCAAATCAAGAGTTTTTTTCTTTATAACTCCTCTGGAAGGCATTATGATTTATAAATAATTTCTATCGAAGGCAGATAGTTGGTTGTAACATAAGTTTTCACTCCTTTCAAAGGATAGTGGTTTGACAGTGTTTTCTGTGCATGGGGAACAATATATTCTATTCCAAACGAAAGAGAACATTCATGAACGGAGTAGCAGCACTAAGCTGCCTACGGTTTATCCCCGGTGTGTTCATCACCTAGGCTTGTGTACGATTTCGCTCTATTTGTTCAAAAAAGGAAATTCAAAAAGGAAAAAGGACAAGTAACGGGTAAATTGAGTAATTCTGGAAGAAAAGGAAATGAAATTCTCACCGTAAGAATGGGTACCGCAGTCTTCGCACCGACAACATAGTTCACCACAGTCTGAGTCCCATTCCCGCCGAACCAGAAAAGTGTTATTTTTATCTGACCGGTTCTGCCAGAAGTCAGTACGGTTGAACCGAGAACTCTAATGCCCAAATTGAGAGTGAGGGAACAGTTTGTCGTGGTGTTATATGGATTGGTGATCACTCCCAAGTGGACACGGGCTTTGGTAATTGAACTAGTCGATCCGGATCGTTGATACTCTATGATCAAATTAAGCTAGAAAGAANAAGTGAAGTATGTATGAGTAAAGATACGTTCAATATATGATTGAGTTTTTCCAATTATTCGTAGAGCTGATTTGTGAAAAATAATATAACACTGACAAAAGGAATCAAGCTCAGACCTTTACAGGTAATATAGAGAGAAATATCGATGCGATGTATCGGGGCAAACCAAACTAACCACCAGCAACCGTACCTTCACTTGTCGCTATCATTCAGGTGCAACTGTACCAATTGGACCGGATTGAAGACTCCCAAAAGATCAAAAAGCACCAGAGGGAAGATTTAAGCAACTAATTAATTCAATTATTTTGTTGAAGCGGAATGTTAGTGATTGTCTCTTTCCTTTTGCTTCTCCCGCTCAGGAGTTGGACTGATGAACGTTGTGATTCACTGCCAGCATTTCAGTTCAAATCTTATCTTCGTGACAACGGTCAATGTGCCCGCGAACTCACATAATACACCGCTGTTTGATGCCAGTTGCTCTTGAAAAATATGCCGAACTTCCGATTGAATCGGTAAACGAGCGCCAGCAAATTGCAAAGTGCATCCACAGTGATATCTTACAAACAATTGGCAAATAATTGTGAGATACAGATTATGTTTTTGCAGGCAAATCAGAGCTCATTTTTTACTGTGGAATCATTTATGTGGCTGAAAATTTACCCTGCAATTGCGTAGAGCTTACTTTGACTTCACTGAACTTGACTTGAAGGATAGCATAAAAAGCGTATTATTTTACCGCTGCAACAGGCCCCAGTACACCATTTTGATCTTCATCAGATTCCATTGAACGTGCGCCAAGTTTCATTAGTATACTAAGAATGGGTTCCGTATTCACCCAGAGCTTATTTCGCCCGGGTTCATCGGGATGTCCGCTATGTACACTGGGTCCCAAAAGTATCAGTGAATTACTGAATTACTTTTGAATGTACAGGTTGAAGGAAGTGACCTCGGGCGGACCACCAGGTGTTGAATAAACGATAAGCAAGCTTGTTTTCCTTATTAATTTCAACGTATACAGTGAATTCGAGGTATCTCACATCTTCACCGAGCGGTTTGTTGCAGATAGATGTGAACTGTTATGCAGTGTGGGGTTTGTTGAACCGCTTAAAAAAACAATTTCCTTTACGGTTTATCTGGTCCAAAACTGTGCTCGTCAGCCATATTATCATCATCATCATCACCATCACAAGGTGAGACAACACCCAACCAGAGATTAAACAGCCCATTGTCTGGTTGAAGGATGTCAAAGTCTAAACGTTTCATTAGTCCCACAGAACACACGGAGAAAAACAACGTGGTAAACAAGCTCGTTGCCAGTTATTCGTAACCATGCTATTACATACCGTTAAATATGACTTGCAATAAGGACAAGCAAGGAGGGATGATAGATTCGAGTCCTGACGGTTTAGCTCCGGCTCCAATCATATGTGTGTTTGTGTAAAACTGAAAACAGTGTCAAAAGCTCAGACAATTGCACACGTGTTGGAATGGATAAAGTCAAGTTTGCCAGATCACAGAAATTAAAACCGACCAATCGAAAATGGTAAGGAGAGAAAACTAACTGTGCTGGTACATCGATGGTAACAACAGAGTAGCAGTAACCGAACAAGCTACCGTAAAGAAAAAGGCGGCATGATCCTCCGTTGTATATTATTACTAACAACCCCAGGTGATCTGAGCCTGAAAAAATAGAGTATTCTTGTAATAAACGATTTACAAATCGCGTTCAAAAATACACAAAGCATTATCATCCCTAAGTAACACAAAAAATAGTGTTTACGTTTTCTCGTATCTAGCGTTTTACATCTGTTTAGTGGTACCCTGCAATCCTACCAATAAATCTTCAATGACAGGAGTATAACGTAGACTTACTGTGTACTTCATTAGGTGAATAAGTTGATAATTGTGCACACCATTGTTTATCTTGGCCCTTCCCGACCACAACCAATATAAATACACCAAACTCATTGAGATTGGAATCAGAAACGGACAAATTTAGAGCAATACTAAATTATTCCCTGACTCCACTCTACTGGTCTCTCACTGGTTTTGGTAAATTTTGGTTTACTGAATACTTAACACAAATAATTGATATGGATACTTGACGTTCTATGATTATTGGCCCAAATGAGGCTATTGACCTAAATGATCCCTGACCGCTTTCTGTTGAATCAAGAACTTACACCGACACCGAATGAGGTCAGTGTTGATCCAACTTGGGTGACGATGGCATAGCCAAATTCAGCCATATCCGTTTGTTGCATCTCCACTTCCACATAGTATGATTGCACGGAGTTTGGTGGAAAGTCCAAACGGATTGTAGTGTTCCCCGATTTGTACGTGTCGATCGCACTCGTGGGCGCCGTGCTGGTCAGGATAACACCTGGATTCTGTGCGCAGAATTTAGAAAAGTACACCCGGGGGAAAAGTTTCATAATTGCAAATAACAAATGCAACAATTGCGACTCACATCAAGTCATTCCTTTTCTGACTGTTTAGATTCTGTAATGTCTTCGATGTGATGCTTGTATCACGAAAACGATTAGAATTTGACTTTTGTGTCCGTGTGTATGCGGCACCTTTTGTTTTTAGGCGAGATCACATACTTCAATGCGGTGGAAATGTTTGTGATAATCGACAAAAAGCACTGGACAGCTGTTTTGTCCCGTTTCACACTCGTCAGCAGTGCGTGCGTTTTGTGTTCCTGTCGGGCTCGAACTGCGAACTTTCGGGTTGGGACTTCAAACCCTTACCCTTGTGCTACACGGCCGAGGGTTATTATCTTGTGCGAATGGCTCAATCAATATCCAGTTCCAAGCTTAACAATCGAATGTGCTAATCCAAGCTTTCTATTAAAAAATTGAAAACAATAGTTTCAGTACAATTTGATCAAACGAGACATTGGTTTTAATCTGTCTTCAATGGGATAGCTGGAATCTAACATAAGAAAATCCATATCTATTGATAAACGCTCGCAGCTACCGACAAGTAACAGAACAAAATGTAACTAAGAGAATACCAAGGGGGCAGGTCGTCAAAAAATTAATACGGTGCTTCAACACCATCTCAGCATACATAATAATATAATGTATACACCGAATTACTTTTTCTCATTAGTGAATTTCGCAATCACTTCGTCAATTAACTATCACCCAAACCGAACATCATCAACAGCGCCTGGTGACTGTGAAAAAACCGAATAGGATAATCGAAACATTCGCCATCTAAAGAAATCCCATACTGTTTAGAATAGTAGATCTGGGGTAGCTATCCGAGTGCTACGGACAGATTAGGCGTGCAGTTAGTTAGGAGCTCATTTAGTTCAAATATTGGGCCAGATGTATCGAATATTTTCTCTCACTCTCTCTCTCTCTGAATAGCTCCGTTTGTAATCATTTCGCAAATCGGATTAAATAGCAAACATGATGCTTCATCAACAAATTATTTTCCAACACACATTCCTGTCGTTAAACACCTTCGAATTATTTTCATCGTTCATTGATGTTCTGATCGGAAGCGGGTGTATGCTGGCAAGAATTTTTCCACCGTACTATCATAGACTGTCTACAATCATTGGTGTTGGTGAGTTCTCCGGACTGGGACTCACCAAACCAAAATCCGCATCCCGAGCTACAATCATTTCACATCATGTCTACAATCGTCTTTGAGTAGAACCGTCTCCGTGTGCCTTTTGTTACCAAGAAAGTAGACCAGATGCTTATACCAGATTTCCGACTCATCGGCCGTTCATAAGTGTAAACCGAATTCTCTCCAGCTCAGTTAGAAATGACCAGTCTGGTGAGATAAGAAACAAATATTGGAATTAGAGTCACTTACCTGTGTCCAAGTGCTCGTTCTTGTGGCAATTTGAAAGGGACAGATGTTCGAGACCGGCAAACCATTCGGTAAAACCATATATACTTCGAGATCAGCTTTGGTTGAGTCAAACGGAGAGACTTGGGTGTACACATTGATTGTGATGAATTTTGAGGAATCCAAGGCCCCGGCATCCAGGGCAGCTGCAAATAAAAGCAATAATAAATTTTTGTAACGTTGGATTGGATGATGCGACTGGACTAGTAAGAAACCTGACCCAATGATACGCGCAGCGGTAACGACCACGAGCAGAACCGAGGGGAATAGTGGATAGTACACGGGTGCGCCCGACTGCGGTACCCAAAGCAAGTCACAATAAAACCACGAAAGCAGTACAATCCTCGAGNAATTGTTGGGTTTTTAACAGAGTATATGTAGGTCCGCTGTACGTAATTTCATTCTTACAATAAAGCTTCTCACATTCATTGTCACGAAATATCGCAGTATGGAAGTATAGATAAATCCCAAAACTGTAGTCGGTTTCCTGGGTTGGAATCCACAAAACCCCGAATGTGGTTGACTCGATATTTTGATTAAGTGGCAGTGAACCAGGAGAAGCAGTGTTTCTACTGTTATTTCTTAGTCAGTCAGACTGATTTTTGTTTGTTGAGCTCGGCGGTTCTCTTCATGTTTCCGGCTCTCTAACATCGATTACGTAATATTTAATTATCCGAGTTCGATGAAAATATTTGTGATGACCGACAAAATGTACTGGGCAGCTGTTTCGTTCTGTTTGGTACTCGTCTGCAATGCATACCTTTGGTGTCCTCGCCCGGACTGGAACCGCAAACTTTCGCGTTTGAAGTTCAACCATGAGCTACACGTTCAACGGTCCAGACTTTGTGCGAATGGCTCAACAA